CTCTCTCTCCTTCTCCTTCTTCTCTTTCTCCTTCTTGGTCTTCCCAGCCAGGCGGGAGGCCAGGTCTATGCGGGGGGTTCGGGGGGTGGATGTGACCGATGAAGGTGCCTGATCCACAGCCTTGGAAATCTTTGACACCGGGGCAAAAATCCCTGCAGGGGCAGAAAAAGACAAAACACACTGAAACCTTACGCTAAACTACGATTAATGCAAAGTAGCTTTATTGAGGCTTGCTCTACTGTTATTGGAGCACAGAGCAAAAAGGGGCGGGGCTTAGGAAGGTCAATTGTTGTTAATTGGCCTTTTTCACAGGAGCCATTTTGATTAAATAGTAAACACAGGTGTTACCGATGATACTAATTAAGGCTCTGTTCCATTTGGTTTGCCAACGTACACAACAGCAGCACCCTCCCAATAGTGACTTGATCAAAGGCACCGTGGCAGCAGAATTTGTTACCTAGCTTAGGAGGGCAGATGAAGTAGCGGACGCCGCCCACGCTGCCGTCGTTTTTTCCCTCCGGCTCGTCAAGCTCCACGCCGACCCACTGACCGCTGGCGAACTCCGTAGTACCACAAAACCTTAGAGTGCCGGCCTGCGGGACACACAGAGGGGATCTGAAGTTAGACGTGAACACGTTTTAAATTTGTCATGTGACAGGAAGTTGTTGTCAGTTCAGTTAGTCTACGTTCCGGCCAGCGCCCCGCTCCAACGAACCTGTTTGAGGTTTGCCGCCGGGCTGTCGTCTCTGCTCTGGTCTCTCTGGAGCTACACAGTGAGAACACACTGTTCAGAGCTCATACAGCACGGTGTGAAGGTCAACCATCACACAAAATAACCCCTATCTGTCCGGCAACAATGCATTCACTGGCAAACATCTGGTATTGATATAAATGTATATTTCGTGTTTTTAAGTTGGACCCAAACAGGACAGAAGTGCCTGAGTGTGTAACAGTGTCTCCATTACAGAGTTTGTCCAACAGAGAGCGCTGTTTTAATCATCTACGTCTGTGAATTAAGGTTTTATTTCCACCAAACCAGTGTTGGCGATTGGTGGGAAGACAAACAAAGACGGGGTTGGTGAGTTTTATTTTGGTCTGAGATGCCGGTGTTCTAGTGCGACATCCAGTGGTAAGTACATTTCATATATAACCTTTAAATAAACGTTCACAGTTCTTACTGACTTCACCAGATGGCAGCGGCCATATTTGGGATATTTTGGCTCCATTTTTGTGCAGTGGAAGAAGAGAAACAGCATCCATCTTTTACATGCAATGCCTGTACGTATAACCAAGTGCATGAATGCCTTTGAGGAAAGATTGTCCGAAATTTGTGCTATCTAACCCTGCAGCTGGACTGGAATCCATCTCGCCAGGTTTCAAGCTAAACGTTGGACCAATCAGCGCCCTGTGAGGAACTACTAGCAGCTACAGGCAACTGTTTGCTCGGAAACAACAATGGCTGCTAAAGACGTTAGCTGTTTAGCTGCTAGCATCAGAACTCAGTTATATGGTTCGTTGATCTGATTGGTTCATTCCTCATAGATGGTGATAGACAGATGGATCACCCAATCACCTGCCAAGTATTTCTTGTCCTCCCTTTTCCAGTTTACAGTTTCTAATAACTTCCCAACATCCTTGTGTACCGAACCATGCGGCCCAGTTGGTTTTTATCCAGTTTCATGAATTGTAATGAATTGTGAGTTGAGCGTATTGTTTCAATTCCCTGTTGTCTAAAATAAAGGTTGATTATTAAATAAAATTTTCTGGTTTATTGGCAGTTTCAGCCTGTTATACTGTAAGTTTCTTCCTCTAGAGATGTTTCAATGTGAAACATCCTTTCACCACTTCCATTTTGAGGTTGTTTCTTGTAGTTCTCACTACTAACAAACCTCGCCTACTGGCTTTGGTTTTCAGGAAGCTTGTGTTAAACTTCAGCTGCTTTATAATCCGTCGTTTTTTGCGGATCAACACATTTTCTCCTCTGACCTTCATGTCGTCCAGCATCACGCGCTCTCCCAGCTTCAGCCCCAGTGAGGTCAGCATCAGGTTTCCTGGGATGTTGTCATAGTTGGGCAGCGTGGCTCTGGGAAGGTTACAGCTCAGAGGGACGGCGTCCAGCAGCAGCTGCTTCAGCTCTTTCGCCACCATGGCGGCCTCCGCCTTGTCCAGACTCATGTCCATCGGGTCGGGAACCACGTCTCCTGGGACCAGGCCCTTATCGTTCTACAGAGAGCCAGAGGGCGAAGAAGGGACAGAAGAAGACAAGAGTTATCTTTAGTAAGATCATTAATCACCCTGAAAGTCATGATTCAAGAGTGCAAAAGTACATTTAAGTGCAAGGACAGAATCATGTAGCATTGCCTCCTCTGCAGCAGGTAGCTTGTGGTCGGTTCCAGTGGGTCATTGTTTGGCTTTGATAAATTAGAGCTGGGATCAACGTTAAACTAAAGGCGGTGCCCCTGCTAGGCGGTGTGTGAGTGTTCATTTCTCAATGTGTTACTGCCCACAACCCCGGGACATTTCAGGGACATAACATAACATATTTGGGGGCTTGTCCAGAGGATTTAAGAAAGGAGATTGGTAAATTTACTTATGTTGGTATGTCCAGTGGTCATCATTGTGAGTACTGTTGTCTGGGTGTCCGATGTCTAGCGTTTAAGTGTTAACAGCTGGGTATAAACTACCGTTAATAAACAACTACGAGGGTGGAAGTAACTAAACCCACAAAAACAACTGAACTTTTTCAACTGAAAACCTATATATATGAGAATTTACTAGCATTGATTAATTCTGATCCAAATCTGGAAATTGTAGTGTAAAGTATTTCCACATATTTTGAAATAAACATACATAGTGACCGCCCTCTACTATTTGAAACAGGCTGTTGCACTTGAATATTGCTATTGGCTGATCTGGAGGCAGCTTTCTTCACCAACCATCACCGGCTCCTATAAAACCAACATCTTAACTCTGCAGACTGCAGCTTCCTACGTAGCCATTAGCCTGACACCAAAGAGTTAGCCTCTCTGAGCCGCTAGCTTAGCACCTATTTTTACAAACAGTCATGAATGTGCTTCTAGTGACTAACCTCCAGATCAGCCAACAGCAAAATTAAAATTAAATTGCAATACATACGTACACATGATCTGTGCATTTATAGAGTTGTAACGAAGTATAAATGTAAATGTAGCAAAGTAGAACGTAGATAACTGGCTCAGCAGAAAACAGCAGTTTTAAAAAAGGAACATGAAAAGTATTGGAGTGCCTTAAAAACCCCAACGGATACAGATGAACTATCCCGACACAATGTAAAATAAAGTGTTTCTTTACCCGCACTGTGGGGTTGGCTCCGTGCTCTAGCAGACATTTGACTGCACCCAGACAGAGGTTGGAGGCGGCGATGTGAAGAGCCGTACCGTAGTGGAAATCACTGCATGTGGAGTTCAACACTGCGGAGACAAAAGAAGAAGAAACTTACCTCCGCTCTCCTGAGCTCAAGCTTTGAATATCTGATCGTTCATAATGTGATCCGTGCGAGTACCTCTGGGTTTAGAGGCCTTGAGCAGGACTCGGATCAGTTCTGGGACGTCGAAATAAGCGGCGTAGTGCAGGGCGTTCATGTTGGTCCAGCGGCTCCTCAGACTCACATCGGCGCCCAGAGCGATCAGCTGGCTGCTGAGTCGCAGCGCGGCCGCCGGGTCGCCTATACACACAATGAGGACGACATTAAGACAAGCTCCGGCTTTACAGCAGCAGAAGAGCAGAATCCACAACCACCACCCGCCCCGACGCAGGCAGTCAAACCACTGATCCTCCAATTTATTTTTAAGAATCATACAGACTTAATTGGCTGGAAGAGTTGTAATTGAATTTAATAATTAAAAGATAAAATAACACCAGGCTGAACCTTTAAAGGACCAGTGTGTAAGATTTAGTTGTGTCTAGTGGTGAAGGGACATCTCAGCCTTCCAAGCTTGTAGGAGAAACTACGGTGTCCACCTCTAGTGTATGGTTTGTCCCTTCAGGGCTACTGTAGAAATATGGCGGACTCCGCCACCAGAAGAGGTGGCCTGGGCAATAAAACAGCAGTATGTATTGGCTATAGACATTTAATCAATAGCAGTAAGAAAATAGTTCAATAGAATATTAATAGTTTCACTTTATTTAAAACTATGGTACTTTTACCACTGGTGAACTCCCTCTAGTGGTACGCAGAGGAATCTACAACAACAATACAACAACACCGTAAACAACAGCAAAATTATCATTATTATATTTATATATTATAATTATCTTACCAACTCCGTGTGCTCCGGCCTTACAGCTGTAGTGAAGCAGCGTCATGTCGGTCAAACCGTCGCGGTCGTTCACGTGGCAACCACGCTTCAGGATCTGCGACGCAAAAAACACAAAGGACAGCAGCTCAAACAGGCCATCTTGTTCTAGCTGTTGGACTGTGAGAGAGATACAGCAATGCGTCTCTGTGTGATCGGCCCTCATGGGTTAATTATTTGGAAATTGAGCCTAAACTATCTGCACATGTTGTTCTCTCCGATATAAACAGTGACAGTGAAGTCGTTCCAGTGTGCGCTGGTTAATTTACGTGTTGACAGTGAATGGGGAGTTTAATTTACAAGAATATATTTATTTATTGTTTCGTATATTTGAACTGACTTTATTATCGTAACATCTGTAGAACTGGAGGATCTGTGTTAGAGTATTTACTCTGGCTTGTGTTTGACCAACCCAGAGGAGGAAGTGGGGATCGAACCGCCAACCCTGTGATCAGTGGACGACCCTCTGAGCCACAGACTGTGTTGTCTACAATATTGGATTTTATTTATAACTTCCAGATTCAGTCAGAAATTCCTGATTTCTGCAACTCAGGAGGCTGACATTAATGTTTTTTCCTGCTCTGATGTTTAATATTTACAGTCTGAACTTAAACGCAGCATTAATTAACCCACATTGTTCTTGAGCTTATAGGACACTGTGTTTGTTAAAAGACACTACAAAGTTAAATAAATTCAATAAACAACATGTTTGTAAAATAAATTAGAATCCTTATGTAGAGATTTGGAGTCAGTCAGCTGGCAGGAGGTTTTGTTGTAGGGATTAATGTTTAGTTAGTCATTAGTTGAAATGAGCATCCGGTACAGATAACGTACGTTTAAGTTCCAGTTTCACTCTCTATAATATAACTTACAATAATCAGTACCTGCCAAATTAAAATCAAAATAACAACATGAGGCTTAAAAACAACTTTTTGGATGCAGTCGATACGCGTCGCTCCATCCTTCTGCCTCCTTCTGAGTCACATCACCGTCTCCTTGTTGTTTATTCCTGCAGGCTGAGTCAGCGTCCTGCTGAGTCATGGTGGAGCCTCAGTGACTTTACATCTCTCTCTCTCTTCCTCTGTTTGCCTCTTGTCTCCCTCTGCACCACTTTCTCTGTCTTATAAGGAGAATGCAGCCATTTTAACTGGGTCATTGTCGCTGTGGTTACTGACATTGTGGGGGACTCACAGTGGAGCCATTAAAGGCCCTCAGACACATCAAGTCCCATGGAAATGACCTGATGATTGCCATATAGGGTCATATTATTTCCTGTTACCAGTAGGTGGCGCTGTGAGAATGATGTAGATGCATGTGGATGTGTTCAGGTCGGGACTTTTATCAAACATGTGACATTTGGTGCAGGTTGGAGAATGTACGGTAAAGTTACAACAATATCCTGTTTAATGGTGAAATGTTGATTTTCGACGCCACGCCACGCTCACGCCGTTTGACGAAACTTCAGGATTTTGATAATTATTCATCGTGAACTTCTTTAGAGTCTAATCACCAAATTTGAAGTCGATCCGATAAATTCTCTAGGAGGAGTTTGTTAAAATATTAGGCCTGGAAATTGTAGAAATGGCGCCAAAATTGGACTTTTAATTCAAAATAATAATAATATAAAACATTAAATGATGTATTATATTACAATATCTGACACTATATATAGAAAATAATAAAGTATATTACCTGTAAAATAATATAATAGAGTCCATATAATGAATGATTTAAGAATCAATTTAAACAAACCCTTTTAAACACAATTAAATGTGCTGTGTGTGTGTGTGATGTGTTGTGTGTGTGTGTGTTGTGTGTGTGTGTCAGAGGTTTGAATCTGGGTCAATGTGCAATGAACAGAGCCCGAGCGTGGTGCATTCAGACTCCAGTGCCATAAACAAATCTGGGCAGACGATAGCAAGACAGAGAGCCTGTTTTGCTTCTTTAGCAATTCAGCATTAGCTTCTTACTCCAACCCCGACAGTACCAAGTATTATTATCAGATTAGATAATTACATTAATAATCAATAATTTGGATGATATCGGAGTTGGTTTTTGGGAGATGCTGAACCATTTTCTGACATTTTGCAACAAATACAAAATGTCTTGTTTAAAGCAGAAGCCGGAAGTATCTTAAACTCCATTGCCTTTTGATTTTGATCCGATTTTCAGTCAAATTTGAGATTATTTAATATGATTTATACAATAATCTACAGCGGGTAGGTGACATAATTGTTCAGTATTACGTCTTTGATCATTGAGCCCAAACGTAGGTTCGGTGCATTATTAAGTCCTTTATAAAGTAACTTCAGTAACTGGACTCCATATTGATCAATTAATTAATCAGTGTAAAACATAGTATCTAATGTAGTGTTAAAATGTAACTTGTTATTTTGGAAAATTGACGTCGATTCTCTGTCCCAAGTGGGCATTTTATAATTTTAATTGTTAGCATCGAGCTAACGGACTAACGCTGTTTTATACATATATATAAAAATTGATGTATTTATATTATTTGTTTCTTGATTTTAGTTTAAGTTATTATAATTTTTCGTGTTTCCTCCACCTCGTTTGCCGGATGATGTCGATCTTGTGCTGCCCACCTGAGGGACCCGCACTGACCACGATGGCGAACAGCTTCGGGATCGTGTCCGAGGGTCCTATGAGATCCTCCAGAAGTGCCGGGTCGTTGGGGTCGAAGAAAACGTGAAAGGCTGGAGACAGAGCAAAAAAAAATCACACTGTGAAAAAAAAATATCTGTAACGTTTATTTT